TTGGTCATTCATTTGAGCTAACAGTCATTGTCAAAGCAAACCATGTCAATTGTCAATGATAATGCTATCAGTGATGAGCATGTGTAGAGTTTTTATTAATTAAATTTGTAACGAAATTAAATGAATTGAGCAAAACAATTACACGGAGCTGTTAAATTGAACAAAATTGGATAACAATAATGTGATACAGAATGCACGAAATTACACTTTTTGTAACCAGGTGAATGTTTGTCATTGACGAAAAAATTCAGTTATATGGAAATTACTATGGGAAAACCAAACTTTTTGTTCATTGTCTTCTACCAATTTTCCATAGTGCTTTTTCGAAAATTTATATAACTATTCTTACGAGAAATTCTAAATTCTAAGCTACAACTTTGCGGAAAATAGTTTTTCAGTCAAACGTCAAATTAAATAGTTATTAAATATTTATTAGATTGATAATCTGCCAACACTGCAACACTGTATTTTGCAGTGTGACATAGTAGCCTTGATATTTGTGCTCTATTCTTCGCACCAGAAACACCAATGTTGCCTGCTGAACAGTTGAATGAGCATAATCATAAGACATCAGTGACTTGAATGAATAAAATCTTTGGTTCCTTACATTTGATTTAAAAGTGGTTTTCAACAAAGTTATAGCTGAAAATTTTCTACAATTACTGCTATCATTTTTAAAAGCATAGTGATGTGGTGAATTGTCAGACAGATATGAACAAAAACATAAATTTTCCCATAGTAATTCCCATATAAACTTGAAATGGTTTGTGCCAAGTCAGTTTCTTACTAAAGTAGTTCAAATTTTGGGAGGCTAAGCAGAACCCAATTTGAAACCGTTTAAGCACTGTGGAGCGAAAATTTCAAATTTTGCATCAATCTACTGGGCACTGTCCTAGTAGATATCACATGAAGAACATTGGTCGGGTTCAGAGTGATATCTGTCGTTTCTGTAATTTAGAACGTGAAACCTCGGAACATCTGCTCTGCAGTTGTGGTGCATTACACAAGCGTAGATGTAAATTTCTTTGAAGTATTAGCTTACAACCTAGTGAAATTTGGTCTGCAAATCCTGGAAAGGTAGTTGGTTTTATAAACCATATTATACCGGACTGGGAAAAGATGTGTCCAGGCAATTAGCCGTTCACTCGTTAAATAGTGGTCGGTTTGCATGATACAAACAGCAAATAGGGGTACCACAAAAGTTCAAATAATGGACGCTGTGGTTTTACTCCCCTACCCAACATAAAATAATAAACTGTCCGCAGAAGGCTGCAGGAAAGTGGTTATGGCCCAACGACGACCATTGATTCGAAAAGTGTACAGGTTTGTTAACTTTCTTTTCAATATTCATTTAAGAATGAGTATGATTTTTGTAGGATCAAGCGCCTTAACTTTGTCTGGAAATATGTCGACAAGCCATTGGAGTTTTGGAAGAAGGTTCTCTGGAGTGATGAGAGTAAGTTTGAGCTCTTTGGGCATAAACAGCGTGCATCAGTTTGGACAAAATCAGGAAAGATACTTGCTGACAAAAGCGTACAAAAGTCAGTGAAGCACGGAGGTGGGAATATTATGGTGGAGATGCTTTGCGTGGTCTGGTGGGGGAAATCTGGCTGAAATAGATGGAATAATGACCGTAGACTCCTACATGAGCATTTTGAAAATATTATTATGGCTTAGATAAAAAGTTTATTTTTCAGCAAGACAACGACCCCAAACATACCGCTCACAAAGTATCTGCTTACTTCCGTGCTTCACGATTCAAACTATTGGAATGGCCAGTCCAAAGCCCTGACTTGTATCCCATTTAACACTTATGGTCTACTTTGGATCAGATTGTTGACAAAGAAGATGTTACAAACCGTGAAAAACTGTTTGAAGCCCTGGAAAAGGCCTGGATGGAAATTAACCCCGAACACACGAAAAACCTTTTTGAAAGTATGCCAAGACGCTTGCAAGTGGTCATTTAAAATAAGCATTTAAAATGCTGATTTTATTGTTATGCGTACTTCATTTTGTCCACTCAGAAATGAACAGTTTCCCAATAAATGTTGTTATCAAATAATTAACCACTCTCATGGCCCGGAACAAAGCATATTCCGAAAGTAAATCTATAATGCTAGTTTCGTTCGAAGACATAAAAAAACTGTATTTAATAAATATTGAGAAAATGTAGAAAACTTGTCATTGTAAGAGGTGCGTACTTTATTTTGACCAGTACTGTAAGTCACTGACAGGCAACTTTTTCTCGAAAAATCCACCAACATCTAAAAATCCAAGCTCATCAACTATTCTAGCACGGAAAATCTTCATAGGAAATTGTCACATTTTGCGCTTTACCCAGCAAAAGTGTACATTCATCTGACGTTTGAGTTTGGCGTCAACTTTATGCTTTGCCACCCTTCATTGATTTTGGGACTTTGACAAAGGTTACCGATTCCGCTGAACAAGGCTCAGACAGCCAGAAGTCTCATAACAATTCACAGAACGAATCGTAAATTACGAGCTAGTAGGTTAAAATCGTCTAGAAGAATAAAATTCAGTACACCAGCGTTCATATTTAATCGTAGTTTTGCTACTTACATACTACAAAAAAATCATGTAAATGTCGGTGCCCTGTGGCCCTTCCGACATACGAATTAGTTAAAAGTGAAGAGAAAATCAATTGAATCACGGAGAAAAAAATACTTCCCCGAATTTGAGTTCTTTTTGTTTAATATTGTGTTTAGCCTCTCACTTGCACTAGTTATTGTTGTCAAAAAAGAACGAGAGATTTGACCCAACGAAATAGTTGAGCCCAATGAGTTACTATTGAGTAAATTGCATGTTCTCAAATTAACGTGAATTTAACTTAATTTAGAGTAGAATATACTTAAGAGTAGCTCATTTTTTTGCTGGTGTTAAATGGAAACTACAATATGCGATTTACTCCAATTTGGCTTATTGGGCTGAACCCCGGAATTGAGGGAAAAGTACCTAATTTTGTCATCTCCGTGTACGTTCTTTTCACCAAGTTGCATACGTTCGGTTTCGAAGCACTTAATTTTACATTACATGCTTGTTTACGTTCTATGATTCCCATAAAAAAAAATTTCGTAACGTGTAAAAATAGTGATTCCTAAGTGTGCACATACGATTTATAATTACTGTGTCGTACACATAATAGTACACATTAAATCGAATAAGCTAAGTAAGGCTTATTGTCAAACTGAATTTGTTATAACAGATCCAATCGTATATGACGTCAAGTGATGTTGTTGTAAATTTGTGGTTTTAGCCTCTACTCATTATGCACGATTTGCTTGTCATTATACAAGTCCGTATATCTCAGACATAACTTCGAAACAACATGCATAATGGTTGACTGACAGGTTTAACAAATAATTAGGATTGACGTACAATGTCCAACATAGACTAGATGATGATGACATCAGCTTTCCAGCGAGCTATGCTTGCAATGTTCTTCAACATGAGCAATTTACATTCGACAAAAAAAAAACCCCCATTCCGGACACGCTGCAGAAAGTGGAAAACGGCGGCGCAGGAAAATCACGGAAGCCCTATGTACCAAGGTCGATCGCGTACGGCCAACGGAAAGCGGCGTTCCAGGTAGACAGGAAAACCAGCGAACAGTAAATCACCAATATATCCACTAACAACTCCTAGCCAAAACACCTTCACCTTACCCTTCATTAGACTAGAGCGGATAGAAATGATTGCATGCAATAACGTCGTTTACCATTTTTGTTTTCTAGCTCTACGGAAGTCGCTACGGAAAATGCATAATGTGTACTAAAATAGAGTTCTAAGCCGGGAGAGGAAAACACACAACGAGGAACGTGTTTAGATGGATAGGATGGCAGGAGGAAGTGCAGTTAGACTGGATACTGAAATGAACATGTTGGTATACACAAAGGAAACAAAAAACAAAAGCAGAAACAAACTATACGAACAAAGGTTACTATTTCGATGACTATTGTTATTTTTGCTTTGCGAACGCTCTCTAGGATATATCTCGCTGCCTAACTATTTACGGGAAAGTGATGCCAACTGCGTGGTCTATTCAAGTAGAAATACGGGATGCGCTTTGGAGCTACTTTGTGGTTCAGTACTTGGTGGCACTATTTTATTGTTTTTTTTTTTTTGGATTCGTTGCGATGTTGGTACTAAGCCTAAATCCTGCGGAGCTGATGGTTGGTAGATAGAGGGGGGGAGCGTGGTTGTTTTTTTTTCATTTTGGTAAGGGAACTGGGTTTTTAAATTTTGGAATGTTTTTTGTTTTGTTTGTTTTTGGTTTGAATTTGTTTTCAAGATAATAAACAACAACATTTCTTACAGAGTAAACAAGGTAAAAAAAAGTCAATTGAAAAATCATGCAGTGTCTTTCCTTTGATTCTCTTGATTTGGTTGCTTTGTTCGGTTTGGTCGTTTTTCGCGACACGGAATCTTAAATGTTGCATAATACTAATACCGTCGTTTTTTGTTTGTTTGTTTGTTTACTGTTCAGTGCGGAAAAATTACCGAGAAAATCAAAACCTACATGCACTTAGAAGGAAGAACTTAAAACAGTAAAATAGAAATGATAACTAACTCGTAACATAAATCGGAAATTTTCCTATCCAAGTGAAATAATATGCAAAACGAAAGTGTGTTACTTTCCAATTTCTGGTGTAGAGAGAAGATACGTTTTGTCTGATTTCTGATCTTTAAATCTAGTCTGATCGGTTTTTTTTTAATTCGATTGTTGATACCCACACATTAGTGGGTGTTTGACAATTTACATTGTATAGGACTACACATATACTCTGTACGGTTGGTTGGTGGAAGGACAAGTCTGTTTCGTTTTGCTCTAATCATTGAATTTGATCTACTTATTTTTGAAACGTCACTGCCTGCGTGACGATGGGCGACGATCGTGGCAGTAACAGTATTGTGAATAGCGGAAACTCCGCACGAAAAGGGGGCGCGCAATAGAATGAAAAGGATAAAACGGTATCACTTACCATAGTCGCCGCGGCTCATCGGGCCACGCATCGGAGCTCCTCGGGGACCACCGGCACCGCTAGGAATTCGCATCGGTGGCATTGCACCTGACATCATACCGGCATGCTGGGGCGACATGCTGTAGGGAGGAACGAAATCACTGCACATTAGCACGGTTTTAGCTACTGTCCTAGCACTTCGCCCGTCCAAGGGCATTGGAATTGAAGTTACGATTGAAATTTTGATAAATCTACTGCGTCAAAAAAATCCGAAAAATTCGCTAAAGTCATGTACATCTCTATTTACCCAACTATCCCCATCCTGGACTGCAGAAATTGGTTCATGCGCCTTTCCCGGGCTCGCAGGATCTCTTCCTTCTTTTTCTTATCGGACGGAGGTTTCGCCAGTGACACCTGCGGGTAAAAATGGGAAAACTGTAACATTCCCAGTTCCATCGGGTAGTGTTGAAAAAACTAACACAAACCTCCAAGTTCGACCCTCCGAGTTCCTTGCCGTGCAGCTCCTTCATCGCGTTGACCGCGTGGTCACGATCCTCGAAGTGAATGAACGCGTAGTCTTTGATTTTCTTCACCCGTTCAACTTTGCCAAACTGTTCAAAACTTTCCTGTTTTTCGATCACAAAAAAAGAAAAAGAAAAAGAAAAACAATAGAATCAGCAAGCTGCGAATACGGAACGGTGCAACTGGCAACACTTACCTTTAACTTCTCTTCACTGGTATCCTGTGTCAGATTGCGCACGTATAATACTTTGACCTTGCTCATCGTTTGTTCATCCGGTTCTTCCTGGGGATCCGCCCAGTCCACTATTATATCACAACCCCACACCTAGAATCGCCAAGGGGGTAAAGAAAGTCAGCTCAACTGGCAACCCTGGCAATTTGACAACCTACCTTTATCCTTCCCGTTCCGAGTCGCCGCTTCGCTAGCGATGCCGCTTTGTGTGACTCGTACTCGAGGAAGCAGAATCCTCGGTTCTTCTTCTTGTCGTCCGGTGAACTGTAGATTATCACTTCCATTAGGCCGGCTGTTCGGACGTTTCGAAAAATGGGGGGAGGCATTTTCAAGATACCGAAAATTCAACCCACACACGCGCAGAGAGCGGAGCGTAAGGAAACGGTTTGGAGGGAAAAAAAATGCAAAACAAATGTTAGTATAAATTTGAACAGAAATGGTAAAAATCCTTACTAAACTAGATTTAATCAAACTTAAGTCTACTGTGGCTGTGGTCGGTCGAAACCAATTCACTCACTGATGCCGATTTTTTTTTCTTTTTGTGGCGCGGATGTCACACAATTTTGCGCTCCGGGTCCTTACGAGACTAGAATCGGAGCAAGGAATCGAACAAAAGCTCAACTCATCTTTAGGGAATTTTGAAAACAGGTCCAGCTTTTCTTCAGTTCAGTTCCGTTTGGGAAAATCAATTTACAGTTCAAATCAGTTGCCAAATTCAGTGCCAAAAGTGCTTTTGTTCCGTTTTCAGAGTGGTACTTTCAGATTTTCATACGCCAGGTTTCAACCGCGATACGATCGGTAATCGATTGCTTTGCTGCTGGCAACACTGTCCGCAATTGACAGTTATCGATTACTGTCGCCACCTTTGAAGCTTTCTTCGAATTCAATAAATTTGCTTACTATAAGAGAGGAGATGCAAAACACTCAGTTCGGGAGATGGGATGTGATTCATTCTTGTTCCAAAGCACGAATTATTTGTAACACGGGAGATACTGAGGGTCGGAAGGGGTGGAAAACCAGGTTCCAGAAGGGGTGATTATTTACATTTTCGTACTTCTTTTTGCTTAAGGAAAAATAAATCAATCGCTCCAAATTGATCCTATCTAGGCGGGTGAGGGGAGACGGGGATAATCAAACTCAAAGATAACAATCCATATGTTTTTATACACACACAGAGCAAATATTGTTCTACACTGAAAATCGATTACTATCATCCGTGCAGCAGATCGCGGAAATGGGGGAAAGGGGAAGGGTGGTCTTTCTCCAGTCATTACACATTTGAGCTGTCACATTATTTTCAGGCCAATCGCAACGTTGTGGTTGTTGTTGTTCCAAATTGGTTCCAGATAGGCCGAAAAGAGAATGCTGCTGCTAAGCAACCCGCGCGTGCGCACACACAAGAATATCCGGATCGTACAAATCCACGTTTAAATGTATATAGAGAAAGTGAAAGTAAAATATAGGAAGAGAGCAAATAGAGAGAGAGAAAGAGAGAAAAAGTGAAAAATAGAGAGTGGTGTGAATCCGACTGATAGTAGCCAAATCGTTTTCAAATGAACTTTAGAATTTTCGCCATTTTGTCGTTGTTGTTTCTCCGATTGAATCCGATCGGATGAATGAACGATACGGTGTGTACGGGAAGTAAATCGACAACAAATGAAAATTGACACATGTCTGTCAACTCGGTAATGCTGAGTTTTCTTCCGAATCAAGTTCGCTGTGCTGTAGCTTGACAATTCGGGTCAAAATTTTCCTGCTTTTTTTTTTGTTTTTTCGTTTCGGGTCAAAATCATCCAATCCGATACATGTGTGAATGTAGAGAGAGAGAGAGAAAGGTCTAAATTTGGACAGCTTGTCGAATTATCGGAAAATTTGGGCGCTCACCGATTTCTGTCTAGACCAATGGTTTTCAAAAAATAAATGTAGGGAAACCGAATTAGACCAATCCTTGATCATTTTTTTACAGTTGTTTTTGAAGGTTTTCACATTCTGATGAAGGAAGGGAACAAAAGTGCAAATTTGGCAATGATTTTGGAACTTCAAGTTTGTGTTATGGGGGGGATTTTTGAAAAATTGTTGAGCTACAGAACTGTTGCCGGTTGTTGAATTTCGTTTTCCAATCGCTGAGCCGTAGTGTTTTTTTTTGATTTTGTTAGATTCCCGCTGCCGTTGCTGCCATCGCGAAAGTGTCTCCGAAACGTGCCACATTCTAGTACTACAATGAAAACAATCCAAAAACGTGGCTGTAGAGTGGTTTCGTTTCGGAGGCACCTTCCGTACAGCGCATAATTTTGAGAGGTAAATTTTGAGAACAAAAAAAACAAACCAATGCTTAACAAACCAATCGATATATAATCCAATACGAAATGAAAACAAAACCAAAAAATAAATGGAAAATCCAATCGCATATATTGCTTACGGTAAACAAAACAGAAAAACAAAACTGTGATCTGTGAGAAAAGCCAATCGAATGCGTCAATTCCAATCGCTATAGTACGAGACAATACCAAATCACACTTGTCCACGGGTTGTCGGTTTTCTATTGTTGTTGTTTTTTGATGTTTCGGTTGTGGATCAAACTATTCTACTACTGCAATTTTTGTTTTCTTGGTTTTCGGAAACTGCCAATCATCATCATTCTACGTAGGTTTCGTGTTTATAGTTCTTTTTTTTTTAGGTTGTGGTCGTCGTCAAATTTAGATGCGTGTACACTAATTTGGACAAACTGCGTAGATACTCAATCCAAAACAAAACAAAGAAGGTTACATTCTCAAATTTGGAAAATTTTACTTTCAACTTCTAGGGCTGTAGTAGTAGTAGTAGTAGTAGTGGTACTTGTTGTAGTTGTTTTGCAGGTTTTGGACTTACGTGCGTATTTAGCAAATTCCTCTAACAACTCATCGCGATCTCTATTCTTAGGTATATTTCCGACAAAGAGCCGGTGATTGTTAAATGATATCGTTACACCAATCTTTTTGCCTTTCCGAATTTCATAATCATTCAGCTGGAATTGGAACGAGAGAGAGTTCAACAAACAAGGGAAGAGAGAGAGATTTGGGTTCAATGCATACTCATTATTTTGATGGTGTTTTTTTATTGATTGATAAATGATGTTTGAAGTTTATGCAAAAATTAAAAAAGATGGGAAATGTCAAAATAAAACGAGAATATTGATTGATTGTGAGGAAACAATGGGGGCGCAATTTGCTGAACAAACGAAAAGATATGTGGAATGGAGGGACTTAAAATTGAATGACGTTTGGATGAATATTGTTTTGATTTTGGATGAATGAAAGCGGTTTTTTTTTTGGTTTTTTGCTCTTGTGTTGCACTTTTTCGTTGATTTTGTTGTTTACGATTTTTGTAAAATCTTTTCTTTTTCTTTTGGGATAGATAATGACTGGAGATTATTGGTGATGAATTTTGTGTTTGTTTACGTTATTGCTATCGGGCGCGTATGTGTGCATGTGGTTGCAGTTAGAAACAGGTTTTTGTTTTGTTTTCGTTCAAGTATGTTAGCACACTTTTTAAACTTTTCCATGATGTCAACTTAACCAACGGTTAACACAGACATAAACAAGGTTGAGGGGGGTTAGGTGCTACAGAATCAAGTTCGGGTTCTGCTCGAAGATGACCATGGTGAGTTTTATGAGGTGAAATTTGGTTGCGTTCTGATTAGCATACAGTGTATCGTGGTAAAATTTTGGATGATTCATGAATTTGGAAGCCAATGAGGTTAGAACATAAACTACACGAAATCATAAGTTGCTGTAAACTTAAATCTTATCAATTGTGAACTGATGGTAATTTCTTTTATATAAAAATTAATAAAATGCTTAGACCCTATTTAGCGTGTTAAGTTGGACATAGCGCAGTGCTGCGCGTGGATAGGAAAAACTCCCAATTAAATGCACTCAGCATAAAAATCGTTCGCCTGAATTCGAAACTTAAATCGGTCAATAACCGCGAACAAGGAGTGCAGAAAATTAAAAATATACAAAGTAGTAACATAGAGTTAAAGCAAAGCAGCATCTGGCATTCGACCACGGACGGGAGATACGTGCAATTACACCGAATCAATCTGCACTCCAGCTTTAGGTTGCTGCAATTGCACGCACTTCCAAAATAAATATCCCGAAAAGTAAGATAATCCTCTCTGCCGCTGCTGCTGCTGCTTTTTAGCGTCTTTAGAAGGACAGGTGTTGAGCGCGATCGACCAAGAAGTGATTAAAATGTAGCTCAGCCTGTTGTAATGGATGCAACAAAGAATAAGCCTCTCTATGCTCAAGCGAATGAGAAAACGGTTCGGAACGGAATCGAAAATTGCTACTAAATCTGCCTCCGGATGGTCCTGAGATGGGAGATGGGTACTTGCAGCGTTGATTAAATGCACAAAAAGAGCAAAGGGGGCGGCACAAAGAGTGATGAAAGAACCGATACACTTGACGTCAGTGGGAAACTGAAATTGCGGATCCGATGCGAACCACCAACTGCTGTCAAAGTGACAGCTAGGCAAAGTAGGCTGCGCGATGTAAAAGTAAAATGGATGCGATGAGCTTACACAAGTCGTGCATGGAGAAGAAAAATGGGTTTGTGTGAGTGTGAGTGTTTGTGTTTTTGTGTGTAAAGATGTTACATTGGGAGACATTACTGCATTCAACCGACTTCGTTAATGGAGGGAGTTCAACATTTGTATCGAGCAGCAGGGCACGCAAAAAGATTTGATGTGACGTGTGGCGATGGCAACAATGATGACGACGACGACGACGACGACGACGAAGACGCGATTGGTTGTTGTGTTTGAAGGCCGACTATTGTTCTTTCGATTGGTTCGTTGTTCTCAAGGTTTACTTACGCTCGCTCGCTACTGGACGGTCACACTATGCGCACTCGCAAATCGATTCGTGCTCAGTGAAAACAAATCCATGAATGTAAACAGTAACTTAAACGCTTAAACTTAACCAAAAAACTAGGTACAGTTGTAACTCAAAAGCGTAAACCGAAAAGATCAAAACAATGCTTTTTGTTTTCTTTAGTTTTCATTTTTTTGGGTTTAGCTTCGGTACGAACTCTGTATGGGAAACATTTTTTTTTTTTTTGAGGATAGCAAATTTTGTACGGTTTTTACCTGTTAGTTTACCAAATTCGTCTAATATCTCCTCTTTGCCTTTTGATTTAGGTATGTTGCCTACAAAGAGGCGCAGATTCGGTACGCTTACGTTAATTTTCAAACATTTGCCGGACTTTATTTCATAGTTATCGAGCTGTGGGGAAGAAAATGGTACACAATGGTGAAGAGAGAAAAACATAAGATAAACAGAAGAAATGAACGAATGAATGAATGAATGAACGTAAAGAGGTAATGGAAAGAATGAATCTTGATTAGTCGTTTTCGCATATCGAAGGCCAATTTGAAACAATTTGGGGATATATCTGTTCGAGGGGAAGGAGGAGGGGAAATTTTGAGCAAATGTTGAAATTTTGACAGATGAGGATGGTAAAAACGGAAGAGTTTGAAAGAAATAAAGAAAAATAAGTAACTAATCGAACTAAAGAAAGAAAGAAAAAACTAACAAAAAAGTAAATCAAATGATACTAACCGATATAGCTACTGAGTAAACTAAAAAACACTGAATAAATTGAAAATAATAGAAAATAAACATGCTCGTAAACAAAATAAAATCAGGCACGCAGAGAGAGGGAGGGAAGAATTGGCTCTTGTTTTGGGGAACTTGCGTTCGTACAAGGCGAAAACTTCTCTCGATTAGTGCCAATTGTATAATTTTAGTCTTCCATTTGATCGTATAATTGTTATTCCCAATCGATACGTAGGTACCCATCAGCTTCAGGAAATGAAAAAAATTAAGATAGAATAGACCCAATTCCGATGCGAAGAGTTTTGCATAGCTTATTTTTCACTTTGCAAAGAGGAGAGCTATAAGAGTTGGTGTTTTGGAAACGGTCGAATCGTGGGGAAATGGGGTTCACAGAACAAGTCGATTTGAACATATGTGCAACTCAATTTTGCGTTGAAAATCTGAAGGCGAATTTCAGGTGAATCGAACCACCAATGATCTTATTTTTAGATTCTCATGTGATTTGCGGTGTCGCATAATTGGTCTGATTCAATTAAAATACAATTCCACTACCACAGGGGTATCCATAACAAAGAAGTAATTTAAGACCAGAAGGTCCCGAAGAAACGTGTTTAACTTTTTAGCTCAGCTCTGGTACTCTCTTTGGTCCCAAGCTAATCGATGCACACCTCGAAACATAGGAAAATCCACGAGCCCCTCATTTTATCTGTCAAAATTTCATAGCGAATCAAAACAAGCATAGTGTAGTACTAGAATTTTGACTGGAATGGGGTAGGTTAATCGATTTGCTTGGAACCAATAGGCTTGTCTAGTAGTGAGTCAATTTAAAATCGTTAGTTTCGTATTGATTGTTGGTAATGCAATCATCTCTTCCAAACTCGATATTGAAGGGCCCATCGGGTTGAGGAGGATATTGAATTATGGAGGTAAATTTTGGAAATTGACATGAGAAGAGGTCGAAGTAGTTTGATTTCCAAAGAGTAAGGGAGAGCGAGTAAGAAAGAGTTGACAGTAACCGATGGAATGGCCTATGTGCAGTTGTTTCTCTGTTGTTTTGCTATGTGGTTGCGTCGCCGCAAATTTAAGTTAAATCACATATTACATACTGACACGTAGCTCAACATTTGACATCCACTGCAATGGGACGGAACTCGACAATTGGGTAGCTATTTTGAGCCAATTCACTGTCAAATTCAAGCCAGTTGCTGATTTGTCGATTTGACAACAGCGATCGTAGAAGAAAGAGGACGGAGGGCGATGTCAATTGACTTCCCGATGCAAGATCTCAATAATACAATCTAGCTAGTGTAGCCGTGTAAAATCCATTTGTTTATTATTTTCAACCACGAAATCAGCTGTCAAAGTGTTCGACTTGACAGCGGTTTGTTTTTTTTTTTATTTTCAACCAGTGAAACGCATGTATTAGTGAAACTTCTCACTAATACCAACAATCAATACGAAACTAACGATTTTAAATTGGCTCACTACTTGACTAGCCTATTGATCCCAAGCAAACGATTAACGTACCCCATTCTAGTTGAAATTGTAGTACTACACTATGTTTGCTTTGATTCGCTATTAAAGTTTGACTGATAAAATGAGGGGTTTATGGATTTTCGTATGTTTCGAGGGGTGCATCGATTAGCTTGGGACCGAAGAGAATACCAGGGCTGAGCAAACATTTTGAGCTCGTTTCTTCGGGACCTTCTGGTCTTAGAGTTACCTCTATGCCTTTACCATAGAGGTAACTCTAAGACCACTGGGTCCCGAAGAAAATCATTATTATTTTTGGCTCACTCAGTACTAGAACAACGGTCCCAAGCAGTCCCAAGCTATTTCACTCACCCCTGCATGTTCTGCATGAATCCACACACCCCTGATGTTATCTGTCAAACTTTCATAGCGAATCAAAACAAACATAGTGTAGTAATAGAATTTCAACTAGAATAGGGTACGTTAATCGTTTGCTTGGGACCAATAGGCTACTAAAGTGGTGAGCCAATTTAAAATCGTTAGTTTCGTATTGATTGTTGCCTTTACTGCGTACACCATATCAAAATGCGGATAGTTCAGTTCATTCGTAAGTTTTACACCTTTTACAGTCGGCAAAGTGTAATGTGAAGTAAACAGAAACAGTGGTGTTAATTTAAAAAAGAAAGTAATTTTTTACCAGTCTGCTACTCGATTGTGGTCTGTCTCCTCAAGATCCCGAGCGGAAGCCAAGAAGTAGAAAGAGCATCCGGATCTTATCCGCTGCGACAAAGGGACAGCTAAATGTATTGTCTAACTGTCAGATTTGTCCAAAAACGATCAGATCCGGGTCCATTGTTTGTGGCTCTGAATCCCACGGTCGGCGCACACTGAAATTAGCTTAGAAATATCGGAAGCGAAATCAAATTCGTTCAAT